TTGTTGTTGTTGTTGTTGTAGCAGTTGGAGTTGGAGTAGGAGTAGTAGTGGTGGTGGTGCTGGTGGTAGTAGTAGTAGCAATAGTGGTGGTTTTCCAGGGTCGGCAAAATGACGAGTCGTTTTGGCCGTTTTGGTTTGGCCGCGAGGCGCAAAGAGTGACGCGTCATTTTGCTAGTTTTGGTTCGAGCCCTGAGGGGAGGAGGGGCAAGGGCAAAACGACTCGGTCACTTTGGCCGTTCGGAAACAGGTTTGCCTGGGGGAGGCCGTCTCATGTTGGTTCGTTTGCTCATTTTCCAGTCCCCAAGTGGTGCAAGTAGTGCCAGTGGGGTAAGTGGTACATGATAGGTGGGGACCCTGATGGTCATTTTGGTCGTTTTGGGCATGTTAGTCATCTTGCTGACCAAATGACCAGCCACGTGTCCGGGGTGCAAGTGGTGCAACTGCGGTAACTACAGTAATTGTGCGCACCCGGCAGGTGCATCGGTTTAGGGTAGGAGTAGTAGTAGTAGTAGTAGTCGTCGTCGTCGTCGTCGTCGTAGCAGTAGTAGTAGGAGGAGTAGCAGTAGCAGTAGGCGTCGTCATAGTAATATTGATAGTAATCCTAATAGTTCTAGTCATAGCAACAGTAAGAGTAATAGCAATAGTAACAGTATACCGTAAATAGTATTAGTACTATCTAATAGGAATAGTAACCGTCATCGTAATCGCAATGGTACAACTGATAAATTCAATCAGCACACATACTAGTGCTAACACCAATACTAATACTCATGCAAATGCTAATGCGAATGCTAATACTAATATTAAGTACGGAAACTGAGTACTAACCCCAAACCGATGCACGTGCCGGGTGCCCGCAACACTAATACCAATACTAGTATTTACGACTAACCCTAACCCTGAACCCTAAACCCTAAACCCTGAACCCCTTAAACCCTAAACCCGACACCCTAATGTGTCACACACTATTTGTAGTCGTAGTCAGCAAATGACTAAAATGCCCAAAACGACCAAAATGACCAGCCAGCCCCGGTGCAAGTGGTGCAAGTGGGGCAAGTGGTGCAAGTGGTGCAAGTGGTGCAAGTGGTGCAGGTTGCGCGACTGGTGCAAGTGGTGCAAGTGGTGCAAAACGACCAAAATCACTTTGCACCCGGTGTCTGCTCGAGCAAAACGGCTTGCTTGCGTTGCGCCCGGTGCAAAAGCAAAATGGCAAAACGGACGGTCGTTTTGCCCCCCACCAAAACGACCAAAATGACTGAGGCGGCATCTAACAAAGGGGCCCTGCAACGTCCCGGGAATGCAGTAGTAGTAGTAGTAGTAGTAGTAGTAGTAGTAGTCGTAGGTAGTGGTAGCTGCACTGATGCTGGAATTTGTGCTAGTAGCTATCAGTGAGTACAACTGTCGGGGCAATAGCATGTGTCGTAAGTTAGCTGAGCGATCTTGCCTGAAGCTGCAATTGAGCTGCGCTGGCCTGGCTTCAGACACCACATGCTCGACATGACAACAACGAAAACAGGAAAGAGAAAGTAATGATGACAATCGCTGGGTACTGTCAGCATAGACGACCCAGTGACACAACTCCAAAAACTGTCAAGTTTCCAACATTTCCAAAGCCAAGAAATGAAGCGAAACACGGACGGTTCTGCATTGCTACATGCTGGATCACCTGAGACCAAAGTGCCTGGTGTTTCGCACAGATGAAAACTGGCAACAAAGAAGGGAGCTCCCAGAGTCTTTGCAACTGGCTTTTGTATATCCAGACGTGACGCAATCATTTTTGGGTTACGTGCCTCCATCTGTGCAGACACCAACGAGTACTGGTAGTAGCAGGACCTGGCAACAAAACTGCCGTGTATCGATGGACATTTGCCTGTCGAATGATTTAATGAGATGGCTGCTGCCAAGCTGCAGCCATGATCTAAATGCCTCATAGCATTGCCCAGCCTGGCACAGTTCAGACGTGCGAAACTGGTTGGTGTAAGAAAGTTAACGGCACGGCCATGTTATGTTCGACATGATACCGTGGCTTTCTCGAAAACGAATTAGCTACTCATCAAGACCCGTGGTTCCTCGCGGCCTCATTCAAGCTTCCCCGCCAGCTGCTGTCGCATGTTAGCAGGTAGGGGGCCAACCTGCCGATGAAACTCATGCAGGGCAGCAAAAGCAATTTGCTTAAATGTCGGAGCCGCGTAGATCGTGCTTGTCCTTGCAAAATTCGAAGTTTTGCGGGTGCGAGCACACTACGTGTCATCTCTGCCACTGCAACATGTCTGGCTTGAGCTGACACGGCACGATCCGCCAACAGTGTGCCAGAAGTTGGTAAGCACTTTTGAGAAACTATGTCTTGGTGCTTCTGGTTCTTACTCGCTCGACTACTCGGTGGTGGACTGTTGACCACGAAAATTGTAGAATCCGTAGAACTCATATAACCATAGAACCGACAGGTGCCATGTGTTGAAAGCTTTTCACCTGGAGGCCTCCGGGACAAAGCTCCCGGTGCGGCAGGCAGCGACGCCAAAGTTTCGGCCAGGCACTTGGGATCCTTCTTGGAACAACGTACGGCGCAACAGTACCATGAATGATAATGCTCATAGGACCAGCATGACGGTTATCATCACCACTGTGGCTGCATCTGCTGCCACACCCACATAGACAGAGTCTTCGCAAACATGCTCATCAGCATCACCGCCAGTCTTGTCCTGTCCCTGATCATCACCTACACCAGCTGCATCAGTTTCGTCATCCTCGACTTCAATTTCAGTATCACCATTGCGGTGACAAAAACAGCAGCACCAACCACAACAACACCAGCAGCAGCAGCAGCAGCAACAATGACAGCCACCACTACCACCGAGACGACAACGATGTCGCCGTCCAAGAAGTCCAAGTGGACATGGACACAATCTCGCCAGCAGTGCACTATCACATCAACTCTACTCCTGTCATTCTCGTCAACACTGCTACTGTCTTGTCTCCGAGTTTAGTCGTGTCACCATTCTGGCCTCATGACTGTTGTAATGGTGATGGTGATGATGCAGACTTGATGATGACGAGGACGATGACTGTGCTGATTGTGTCCCTTGACGGTGCACACGACTCGTAGCTTTGGTAATCTGGTGATTGTCATCATCATGAGAGCATTTGCAAGACCAGTTTTCACGAAAGTAATGATATCGCTGTTACTCAGAGTTCTGACAGGATGAAACAGCGAAGCTAGTGCTTGTCGCACAGGCAAGAAAGCAAACAAGGACAGACAACATACTGATCGATGTAATGACTGTTTTTGTGATGCCGACAGTTTCAGCTGTCACTGGAGATGCTGCTGCCAACGACCATTATCACGGCAGCAGTGATGGTCCTGTCTGAACATGCCAGTCTTCTTAAGGTGATGATGGCCATACTTCTGTTGACCCTCAAAACAGCATAGTAAATTACAACAGTGACTATGATAACGGCGGGACAGATGCTGGTCAAGCGATGTACCAGTGGAAATCATCGTAACAATCGTGATTGTTTGGGAGAATGGCTACAGCGCTTCATACAAACATCTGGCATGCAGGTGATGATGATGGTGATGGTGATGGTGATGATGATGGTGATGATGATGGTGATGATGATGGTGATGATCGCTGTATCCATGTTCGCCGCCATCGTCACCGTCTTCCTTCGCCAGAAGACGGTTGATGATGTTGAAGATCCAGGCGGAAGATCAAGGTTATGAGAATCGCTGTATTCATATTTGCCGCCATGGTCATCATCTGGCTTTATTGGCCACGAAGGCCCGCGGACACGGGGGAGGCACAAAACCCCTTTATATCCAGACGCAAAGGACTGCCGAGGGCGGCAGTCCATGGTGCTACGTCCCACAGCGAAGTGTGATCTCTTTACATGGTCCTGCCTCAAGAAGCCACTGACAAGCAGCCACGAGGTCTTCCCGCCGGGAAGTAACTTGGGCGTTGCAAACCACGCACCTCACAGGCGGCTCTGGAGCTGCTTGCCACTGGCTCGCAGCTCATGTGCGACATCCAACATGGCACCAGAAACCTGAAGACTTTGTCCATTACAAGTACGACTGCCACGACATGCAGAAACAAGTGTTAAAGCTCAGGCATACATTTTCAGCAACTTCCTGCGGATGGGCTGAGCGCCGGTCAAGCATTCCATTATCCCCAACAGGCTTTCAGGTTCTGCGCCACCATGAAAACCTCCCAGCCTCGAGGCTACACAAGCATTCAATACACTAATCCCTGCAATCACACAGTCCCGAGGTGAAGTGTTCAAGGGATACCTCATCGAAGCAACACTCTCCACCTTTCCCGCCTCATGACCGACAATTCTGCCAGTGTCCAAGAAATCTGGATTCATGAAGTCCGTTTCAATGAACAAAGCAGTTGACTGTGACGCTCTCAAGCTGCAGAGAAGATGCTGCAGAGAAGAAGGCCCGGCAGAGGAGAAACTGCTCCAAACTTGCGCACGCTGCATCCGACCAAGGAAAACCAACATTTAGCAACAGGGACGACAAGGCGCGACCGCACAGTGCTGTGTACCGCTGTCGAATGATACAGGATACTCAGGCTAGTCTCAGCCTCCGTGCATTGACAGTGAGCTTCAAATGTGCCGGCTTCGCACGCGACACACGGCAAGATGCTCAAGTGACCGTTCACAGTATATAGCGTTTAGGCAACAGGTGCTACACTGGTGAGAGCTCAAACGCACAAGTCTTCTCAATGATATCCGACACTCAGCACATTTTGTTGAGCATATCCTCATTGATATGTCAGAGCCACTGCGCAAAGTTTGTCTTCTGCATCACTGTCGGCAGCAACCCAATAAAACTGCGAAAGAGTCTGAACAACCTGCGACCAAAGTGTTGGAAGCACGTGCCCGTGTTCACGATGGTGCCGGAATCCGCAGGATAGATTCGAGCCGGGAAGGATGCAGAGACCAACTCAGCTTCCACTGCAAGGATCTCATCCTCAGCGCAATGTCAGAGCCACTGCGCAAAGTTCGGAGTTCTGCATCATCGTTCCAAGCCCTCTCGCAGCAACGGGCTGCAAGCGTGACGGGCTTGGTGCTTCGCTGCAGACGCAGAGTGCAAACATGCTTTCCGTGCTTGCAAACACATGCACAAGCTCAGCAGACACGATTCTCCGAAGACTTCGTCATGACAGTGGTATCGGAGCCACTGCGCAATCACAATAAGGTATGCATCAGTGCTAGGTGGCGCGTTGACATGCCACGCACGGCCTTTATGATACTCCAGCACAAGCCCGACTCAACCTTCAAGGAAAAGGTTGCAGAAAGCACTGCGAGGTTTGCAAAAGAGCGCCACAGGGAATCTCTGCACCTCGTAAGCTAAGAGCTGAAGCTTCACTGTGCCAGGGCTGGGGCGTGCCAACAGTGCCCCCAGGGCGCAAACCTTGCAGGAAGCAAACACACCTCTGCATCGAACTAGAGCAGAGACCAAGACCAGGCGCACTGCCTTGCTCCAGGTACTGCGAGAAGTGGGGTGCCTTGCTTGCGCCGAGCATCCAGATCCCAGTGTTCACACCGTCAGCGACTTAATTTACCCTCTGCAATTGAATTGCCAATGCCTAAACTCCCAAAGACCTGAGCCCAAGGCCTTGTCCGGAAGGAGGTCGCGCAGTTTCTCCGATGTGGTGCGAAGCTGGCCCTGCAGAGACACAGCTCTACAGTAGAAGCCGGTTCACGCACTGGCACTGGATTCAGCCGATTAGCACACTGACCGCAGGATTTGCACCGACCGCACATTCGCGGACCGACCCAGCTATGCGCACCCCGCATTTGTGCACTGGGGAGACCGGTGCGCACAAGGGATCTGCGCACTGATGCGAAGGACTCACACACCGGCCCAACCCGTCATCGGGCTTCGAACCTTAAAATCTGAAACCTTAGAGCCCTAAAGCCCCAAACCCGAAACCCCTCAAGACTCGGCTCTGCATGGCTGCTGATGCACCTAAACCCTGAAGTCCTGGAGCTGAAACCTGAATTTACTAACCCCTAAAACTCAACCCTATATATTAGCCTAAACCGTAAGACCCCAAAAAGCCGTAGAACCCTAAACACTCGGCTCTCCCGCCCAAAATCCTCAACCCTGCTGCACGCCTTAAACCCGAAATCTGCAACCCTCAAACCTAGTCGAGTTCCCCGTCGCCCCAAAACTCTGTCGGGCACCCTAAACCCTAAACCGTACAGACTTGAACACCGGGCTCTCCTTGCCTGACGATGCCCAAAATCTAAACAGAAAAAAGCTGTGCTGACATTCAATACCTGGCCTTCAAGATGGTCTTTGTCACATACTCTCGACGGAACAATCGTTCTAGAATCTAGAAAAGACAAAGGCACATTGTGGATGTGTTTGTTTAAGCAGCTCTAAAGTGTTGACACTCCTCTTTCACCGAAGGTAAGCCAAAACTAAGATAAGTCTGAAAACTTTTTGCAAGATGTCAACCGAAACAGCTCCGTCAAAAAATGAAACTTCGGAAACACTACAAGGACCAGAAGCTCTCCGTGATGTTTCGACGGTCATGATCACCACTCATGCCTCAGCATGCCACTCTAGCTTGCAGACTCTTTTAGATTCGCCATCAAAGCCACGACGTGTGCCTCCAACTGCTTGTACTGCGATTGGACCAGCCGCAGCCGCAGAACCTGCGGGCTATGTGACGTATCGTCGCGCAGGAATCACAATTCACAAGCACGAAGTGGTTCGGCGACCCTGGAACCATCAGCCAACCAAAACAGACCTACGAGAACTCACGACCATCACTTCAACAGTCAACCGGATTGTTCACACGTCCTGCACTAAGACCATTCCATCGCCATGAGGAAGTCCGATGACATGAAAACCTTTGACACTTAGCCAGCAGCTGCCGTTTAACGAGAAAGGAAGAGTCTCCAAAGTTCACGTGCTATAACTCTGCCTGACTGTGCCTTACAGGCCCTGACCCCAAAGCCGCCTCGGAGGCAATCTCCTGGATCTGCTGGCTCTGAGCTGCATCACTGCCAGGATTCGACAGTCTCACCGGTCCCGCACAATTTACTTCTTCGGGCTTGAAGGGATCTTGCCGAAGTAGCCATGCACTGTTTTGGATCACATGTTTCCTGTTCTTGCCATTGGCACTCATGTCTTTCTCCACACAGAACAGGCCGAAAAGCGACGAATGAAGTGATGCCAATGCTGCCACATCAAGCCCTCGGACCCTGCCAGAAACATGGCCTTTCAGTCGTTGCTACGGCGACCCGGGCAGGCGCCTGGCTCTTTATCGGGGTGCATTTGGCAGTTCAACCAAATCAACCGGATGGAAACAGCAAGGTTTAGCAGGCTTCCAAAGTCTTTGGATCCGCATCTGCGCAAGAACGGCTACATATACTGACGGACAACCGTATAAACTCAGAGATAGAGACAGTTCACCGCATCCAGACTCTCTTGGCTGGGCTGAACCCTCATGCTTCGCAGGGAAAGGCCTGCAGCGACATGCCAGATCAGGCCTTGACTTCCAGAAGAGGCGAGAGTGCATGTGGGAGCTAATTAGGGTACTTTACTTGGGGATCCTTATAATAAGGACCCTACTATTTAGGGTACTATATTAGGGTCCCCTATTTTCGGAAACCCCCATGTCACGATGACACGACAACGATTGGCCCATGCTTCTGGGAAGTGATTACAGCTACAAAAGGCGGGACGCAAGGCGGGACGCCCAGGAGGAAATCCAATCCGCTCATTGCACCCCCTTCCAGCGCGGCGGCTCCATGGTTCTTTGTCTCGTTGCCGGCTAATTCTCTTGACTGCATGCTGCGCCTGTAGTTTCTGGTTGCCGTCTCACTTATTCAGCTACTATGGTCGACAGCATGTCTGGCTTCCTGCCGATGCATCATCTGTCGTGGGAAGTCTATAGTTCGCATCGCTGCGAGCTGTCCCTGTTCACAGACGGGTCGGAACAGACAGCAGCTGAAGCAAAGAGAAAACAACTTTGGGTTCAATTTCGAGGACCGGCTAATGGCCGTGTCCCGATCCTGGTCGCCGCTTTAGGGTCAGGTCAAGGCTTGGCTTTCGGAACTTCAGCTGAGGGCACGAGACTTGGGCTGAGGATGTTCAGATATTAAGAAGCTCAGGCTTCAGGCTTGGCTTTGGCTCCCCATGTCGAACTGATTGGGGAACCTCCCCTGGGTCCTACCATTGATAACGCACTGCCAAGGGGGAGGCCATGAAGCGAAAATGTGGGCAAGTCTGGTTACCAACTCACGTGCTGAAGCCCAGGCAAACTGAGAAAGACTTGAGGAGATGCTCCCGGCCCAGTCCTCTGAGGTGGCGGCCGCTTTCAGCGGCTCACGCGGCTATCTCGCCATCACGCACAGAAGAGCTCCGTGGGTTCCATGGCACCGCCGCGGTCCAGCAAACAATCATGTTGACTTGAAGAAGATACCTTTCGTAGCAGGCTTGGGCTTTTTGCCTGATTTTTCTGGGTAAGCTCCAGCTCGCTTGTTGAATGGACTGCATGGGCAACACTTCGTTTGAGCTGCCAAACTAGCAAAGCTTCCGTCACGATGCAGCAGAGACCTGAACTTGAATGCAACATTGTGGGCATGTGGCTGCATTTCGCATCTGTGCCATGGCACCAAGCTCTTCTGCTTGGAAACTGTCAAGCTGCACGGTGCATTCGCGTGAAAGCGCGGAATGCTGCCATTGCTCTTGCTCTGCTTCTGGGTACTATGGACTCAGCCTGTCCTGTCATTCATGGCTGACAGGATGAAAGTCAGTCCCCAAAGAGAGGAGATCCAACAGATCTTCAAGACCTGTCATTCACTGCCCTGGCCCTTGGCAGCATTCCTGTGATCGCCACTGAGATGGCAATCCTACGGGCTATAAATGCAGCCTGAAGATGCAACTATTGTGGAGTCCTGGTGGAGGGAGAGATGGCTGACTGCGGACGATTCCCAGCATCGTGGAGCTATCGTGCACGGACTGGAATTGCAAACAGTGCAGCACGAACTGGAAGACAAACCAGCAGAAGAACACAAAGCTCGAAAAACTGTACGCAGACCTGAAATGGCTCTGTCTTGATGTTCCAGGTCCGACTTGAGCGTTCCCACTTGCTCTACCATTTGCCCCAGCAAAACGCTGTAGAGTTGTTGCAGCCGTTCCTAGCAGGCGAACAGGTGGATCGGGAACGGCCCGGGCCCGTGGCCCCCGAGGTTATCGGCTTCTCTGCCTTTAGTACCAGTTTTGACGCTGGCTCTCCCGTGCACCTCCCTCCTGACGACAGGTCGCGTCAAACCAAAATATCAGGTCATCCGAATCTTTGTCGATGTAAACCTCTAGATGAAAAACGTCTCTCCCTCCATGCATGGTGACACGGATGTTCTGCGACTAATTGGACAAATCGCTGAAAGGCCAGATCTGCATTCCCACGAGGAGACTCAAACGGTACAGCGACGGTTTGCCCAACCCAACGCTTCAGTTAGGGCGAGATGAAGCCAACTCCTCGAACACGAGTGGAGCATGCATCTGAAGCATCAGGACAGCGGCTTTCCGTCGCAGTGCTGTGGGCCCTGGCGTGTCATTCCGACCGCTCGTTGGCAGCCATGGCGACCCGCGGCCTGACTCTTCCAAAGCTGCACTTTGAGACTTGCTTCTGTCTCGGAGGTCTACAGCACGTGTGCTCCATCGCTAAGAACTACAAGACTGACGCCAGGGTCACAGGATGGTCAAGCAGTTCCCACTCCAGTAGAGAAGCAGGCTCTCGGCCGAGTAACAGCTGCGCCCGAGATCCCCACACCCACGGCCGGCGGCAGGCGGAAGATCCAGCAGCATCACCAGGTGCACCTGCACGACAACAGGGACTTGTCGGCTCTTGGGAAAGCTAAGCTACAGATTCTCGAATTCAAGCCACTGAGCAAACCTTTTCCCAAAAATCGTCACGGCACCACGCGCCAACGTCGAGTTCGCACGACCAGCATAGTTCCCCGCATGCAGTGCCGGGATTCAGCTTGGATTCATCAGTACGGCCAAAATTCTCCCCCAACTGTTGGGATTAAGACACATGACATCACATCGCCCCAAGTACTGGCGGGATTCAAAACTTTCGAGGCCAAAATCGAGCAGCACCGCAGCACCCGGACACCGGTAATACTGAGAGGGTTGTGATTTGGAGACCCGTGTGTTGAAGTTTACAATGGGTCGCCAGGAGCGGCGTTGTGAAATCCAAGGACGAATTATCACGGCACCACGCGCGCAGCGCCATTTTACGATACGCAGTGACTCCCGCTAGCCCTGCCCTGAGCGTCAAACGACACGAGATAAGAACGTAAATATTGAAGACCTCACATCATGCCAGGCAACCTCACGGCAACCTAGGAGACAACCTGACATCAACATCATCACATCCTGCCATCCAAACAGCCAAACCTCCTCCGCACAGGAAGCTCATCACGAAGCTCTCGGGAAAAAGTAGAACTACAAACAACTGTAAATTGAAATCCTGAGACTGACCTTTCGCACATTTCCGCACCCACCAAGTTCCAGGCTGCCCCGCTGAAGAAACTCAGGGATGTGCGGTTAGGCAGTGAAAACGCACCAAACGAGCAGAAATGCCAGCGCAAAAGAGCACAATGTGTACGAAGCACAAAAAATCAAAACGAAAAAAAAGTAGTACATTTTCCTGGTCTCCGTTCAGCCGTCTGGCCAAGCAACCCGTAGGGCACGACACGAATATGCGAGCCTGAATAGCCACTGTGTCCACTTTGTGCATTCAGCAAGAATGCACGACCTTGTTGGCAACAGGATCGCACTTGGACTGCTGCTTGATCTTTTACACTCTGCCATTCCCACCCAACCCCCAAATAATCTCAGGCGTCAAGCCTAAGCACTCCTGCTCCAGCGAGCCGCGGATGCAAACAAAGCCATCCGGGCCTCAGCGGTCAAACTGATCAACCTCTGCTTGGCCGAAAGTTGCGGCCTGTTCGGAGCCATGTACTATGTAAGCCGACCGGCTACACCTCATGTCAGACGATCATACATCACCGCATCGCATCGTGCAATGCCCAGCTCAGCTTGCGCTGGAAAGCATTTCGATAGCGAGATAGAAAATATTCTACAGTAGACCATCTTGAACCGCAGCGAATCGCGATAACGGCATCTTTGCAAATCGTGGCACATAGCTTCGTAGTTTAATCGAATGTGCCTGTCGTGAGAACACTGCAAGCCGAAACCCAGTGAGAGTTGCTGTCCTAGCATGGCAGTACTTAGATCAGATCGTACGAGACCACTTAGAGCACCATGAGCTTAGTCCAGTACCCAGGAACCGATGAATCTCTCCAGGTGCTAGGAAATCATGCCAGCCGCGATCAAGTCGGTTGGCCTGAAAAGTGCAAACTAACAAGTTCTGAGAGCTGCTGAGGACACGGAAAAGGTCCAGAAAAAATGTCGACAGCTTACGAATTTGTGTGTAAGCGTCCGAGGATTTCAAGGCCACGGAATGAACTGGCTGAACCATGCCAAGTCTCGGCTGGACGAAACCTCTTGCCAACCGTAAAGAGCCGGAGAAAAAATGCAAGCCACGGCCACACCTTGAAGGTCCAGAGGTCGCTCTTCTTCTTTGGAGCGGGGCAAGTCTCGCCACTGCCTCGCCGAAGACGCTTCTGAACGGGCAAGGTTGAAAAAGCGAAGCTTCGAGTGCCCTAGCTAACTTATGCTGATATTCTCCAAGCAAAACGAGTTGTTCGTCCAAATCTCGACCAGCCTGAGGGCCACTTCATGCAAGCAATGCCATACCTGCCGGCAAGAAACTACGAGCATAATCCTGCGCAGGAGTCTTGCATGACCGCTCCAGACCTTATGTTGGCAAACTCCCAATCGCGAGGCCAATGCGGTTGAGGCACAGCCTCACACATGGAGAAATCGCAATGGAAGAGGCCGGCCACAATAGCGCGGTGCTGGACAACTTGTGAGTAGATCGACGATGCTAGGCAAGTGCAGGAAATATGGAAAACCAGCCACTCGAAGCCAGTACAGTGGACTAACGTTCGACCAGACAGCAAGCGGAAGAACATAGATGCAAAACAGTGTTCATGAGAACAGGTTTGGGTTGACTGTTCATCGCAGCAAGTCAACTTCCCAAAACCTCCAGCTTAGGCTGCTTGTCTCTACATGCAACTCACAATGCTCCAATACCCAGAACTCCCCCGTGGACGAAGTCAGTGCCTCAAGGAAGACCGAGAGGGACCCCCTGACAAGTGTCTGGTCATGTAAATAGAGAGCAAAAATCACGCAAGTACTCGCACGGTCTTTCTTGGTGCAAAGATGCACCAGTCACTCGTCATTCGGGCCTGGCGACACCGGTATCAGTGCCGGCCGGGAAGACAAGAACCTGCAGGCAAGCAGAAAAGATTTACGGGAAAAGACATGAAAAAGCTATTGGCAAACACTGCTCAAATATGCTCAAATCAAAGTAAGAGGAAACATCAGGCCATTACGAGGC